GCCGCCGTCGCTACGCCGCTCCCGCGCGGCTCCCGCTCGGCGCCCGCTAGCGCTGGGGCGGGACCATCTGCTGCCCGAGCCGGGGGTGGGGCTGCAGCCCCCGGAAGCCTGCGGCTCGGAAGCGGAGCTTATGCAGACCCCGGGCCCACGGGCGCCCTTTGGCCTGACAACCACAGGCAGCCGCAGAGACGCACGGGTGCCAAAGCGTGAAGGAGTCGGCGAAAATACCTGACCTGCTTGCGGCTCCCCCTGCGCTTTACGCAGTGGTCCGCCCCGGCCCGCCCCGGCTGGCTGCGCTGCGTGTGTATTTGTATGTGTACTGTATGTAAAAGGCGGGGAGAGAGGAAACGATTGTTGTGGAGCGGGCTCGGGGGCGGGCATGGAGGCCTGCAGCCTGGGGCTGCTCGTTGGAGAAACCGGCCGTCTATGCCATGTTTCCCAGGATGGGGAGAATTTAAAGCCGTGCTTGCACGATTTGCATCATCAGAAAAAAAAAAAGGAGCTACACAAAAAAACGTGAATAAAATTGCATCACGAAGCGCTTGCAAGGTGTGCAGCCTGTAGGCCTCTTGCACCTAGCCGAATGGGCGTTTCAGCCTCCTTTTTCTTGAGATTGTAATATGAGAAAGCCCTATTTCTTTTATATTTAAGCACCAAGAACTGTTAAGAGGCAGTCCTAAAGAATACAAAATGTGAAGGATAGAAAACAATGACAGGAAAACCTCAGCCCGTTAGATAGGATGTGGGTTTGGGCCCGAATTCATTTTTAGCTGCATTTATATTTTATTTCCCTACTAAAATGGTAGATAGTAGAGTGGAGAAATGTTACTAAACCTCCAACTATTTTGCAAGGAATTTTAAAGATTATTTTTGCTACTTTAGCCATAGATGTTTTTAATATATTGGCAATCTGCCCAGCCTTCTGATGTTAATACTTTAATTAAAGCTACCTCACCAAAATTGTCTGATTTTATTTATCCATTTACATTCGCCCAGATTCCCAGTAAATATGTAGTAAATAAGAAGGCATTGTGAGCATTAATAAGAGTTAACCTTAAATTTTTTTCATCTCCACCGAACTCCCTGAGAATCCAGGGATGCAACTGTGAACAAGGACAGACACTGCCTATTAGAGCAGGCCGAAAATACCGGAGAAAACATTAAAATGTGTATGCATTGCTTTCGATAAAGAATTTCAACATGAGAATAAATGCAGAAAAACTTTGAGTAGCCAAAAATTGAAAGTTTTTTGTTGTTGTTTTAAAAAAAACATGTTCTAAGAAAAACAACAAAAAAGGAATGAAAGAAGACATTCCCAATGTAAAATGGCCTGCAAGGAGTCCCAAGAAACGAAATCATAGCCCAGCGTTACGCAGGGGTTACTTGCGGAGCAAGAAGAGAAACCGACTGGCAGGGGAGAGGGAAATGTTGGGCCGTGTCCTCAAGTTTCTCACCCTGAAATTAAGTCGCTGTGTTGTATACCAGGGAGTTACGGGGGTTGCAGGACAAGGGAGGGGTAGAAATGATTCTTTAAAAAGTTGCTCTTGCCTGCCTGGCGAGCACATGGTCCTGAGTTCGATTCCTAGTACCAATAAATAAATAAAAAGTTATTCTTGCTATTTCAAGGTAGAGAACAGCAGAAATAAGCTGGAGAAACCGTAGTGCTCACTGTGACCTATTTATGTGAGACTGATGACCCTGAAGAAAGCAAGGGAAGGTGTAACTACTTCCACAAAACAGTAATTATCACGTGTTGGTGCCAGGAAGCTGGGCATGGTGGTGCACTCCTGTAATCCCAGCACTTGGGAGGATGAGGCAGAAGAAGAGCCTTGAGTTCAAAGCCAGCCTGAGCTACCTAAGTGAGTTTAAGGCCAGCATGGACTGCATAGCAAGAAAAAAAAGAAAATAAAAAATAAGTCATGCACAAGGAAAGGGGCAAAGAGATGTACTGAAGAAACTTCGAGGATGCTGAGGGATAGAGACCAAGGCATCCTACCCTCCCTTTCGTTTTGTCTTAAACCCCTTACAGCCTTGCAATTCCAAGTGTGGTCAGGGCCGGGCAGCCTCCTGACTGCTCACTCCCTCAGACCTACCCAATCATAACCTGCGGTTTAACAAGATCCCCAGGTGATTCTTAACATGTTCAACTTTGAGAAACTGCTCTAGGAGGGCTGCTGTGGGATGTGAGAACTTAAAATCTTGTGGGGAAGACAAGCATGTAATAGAGAGATTATAACTAATATTTAAAGATAATTTGATAGTACTAAATTACCATAGCAACAAGTACAAAGGGGGTGTGAAGGGCTTCTTAGGAAATGAAAAATAGATACTGATATGAGAATACAATTATTGACAGTTGATGTGTCAGTGTTGAACTAAGTATGATGCTTAGTACTTGCTATCCATAAATGTTGCCAGCTGCAGTTCCTGAGGGTGTAGACAGTAGGTGATACCGTTTAAACAGTAAGTCAAGGGAAATGAGGTGGTAGTTTAAGCCTCCAGAGAACAAAAGCCCAGGATCCCAAGAGCGAAGCCCTGAACCTGAGCGGGAGGGGGCCGAGGGGAAGGAGAGGAGGCACGGGAGGAGGATGGGCACAACACAGCCGCTTGGAGAGCTTCCCTGAACTACTGAGAGCTGTGCTCCTCCCACCCCGCTCCACACAGTACGCCCTTCCCCCAAATGAGAAAAATACGATTTCCAAAGCAAGCAAGCAGGAGAGGGCAGGCTGCGTAAACGTGGGGAGGTAGGAATGTGACCCATGTTGTCTCATGTAATCAGAGTGTTACTGTCCCTATTTTACAGATGAGAAAACAGGCTCACAGAAGCTAAGCAAGCTGCCTAGGATTACACAGGAGGCAAGTGGCTGAGGCAGCTTGCAGCTCCTGGGTTCTCAAGGGCATGCCTTCTCCTGATCCCACACGGCCTCCAGGTGGGGCAGGGAGGCAGCAGGGCTGCAGGCTGGATGGCTTATAATTAGAAAAAGATGCTGGAAGTAAAAGCTGCCCAGGACTCTTATTCCAGCTTCAAATTTCCTAATAATCTCCTTGTACCCTACCCTAGTCCCCAGCCCCCCCCCTCCCCCAACCCGCTCATTCTGTTTAACCCTTTCTGCTCCTGAAGGACTCAGTCCAAAACTGACAATCCGGAAAGGCTCTAACCTCATCTTCCAATGGCATAATTTCTTATCTACAGTCTTTTTAAACTACTTGAAAGCCAGCACCATCTTACTCATCAGAGCTACCCTTTGCAGGTCTTCAATAAAGAACTTCTTTCAATAAATATTTATGTAACAAATGAGGGGAAGGAGCAGGTGGTAAACTCTTGAGTCCTAATCATTTAGGCTGACGAAACAGATAAGAAGACACAGGAAGGTATTTGTTTTGACTCGATGAATTTTCCACATGCTTAAGGTTAACCCTTTAGAAGCATTAGTTTTAATACAAATGCATTCATTTCAAAGGAAATTTTACTAAATGAAATTAGGCTTACGACAGACCAAGCAATAATATTTCGTCCACATCTTTTACATAATTCCCCATCTTTTTCATTTTTATAAGCAAATGTCTGCAGTACATAATGATTACATTCATTGTGGGGCTTAATTCTCAATCTTAATACACAGTACTAATAACACACCTTAGACTTAATGGTGTCTACCGTAATTACTGATCTATGTGTGTGCCTGCAAACCTACTGCTGAGCTATACCCCAGACCCTTGTTATATTTTGAGACAGGGTCTTGCTAAATTGCTCAGAAAGGACTTGAAGTTTCAATCCTTCTGCCTCAAGCTCGCAAAGGCTGAGATTATAGGTGTGCCTTACCCACCCTCATCATGGGGAAACAGTGAAAAGTCAGCAAGAATATAGGAAAAACAAAAAGCATTACTCAAAGCGCTGTTTTACTTAGAGATGAGATGTGATGAATACAGTCTAGGCCTTCCTCCTCCTAACCATCAGGAGCCCACAGAGCTGTCGCTCTTAGGGGAGGCAGAACCAAGATGTGCTGCCTTGTGAGACGGCGGCTGGCGGTCCTCCACTGCCTACCAGAGTGCCAGAGTGTCGTTTCACCTGGGCTCAGACAGGTCTTGGAATCTGGATGCTCGAGGCAGGCTGGATAGAAGGACAAGGACAAGGCAGACACCTGTGAATGCCTGTTGTGAGGGCTGCGTAGACTACGGGCATTCCGGTGGAATTAAAAACATCACTACGCACCCTGGTTATGTCTCACCTCAGATCTTTAGTTTGGGCTGGGGATATAGCTCAGTGGCACAGGCGCCTGCCTGGCAAGCGCAAGGTCCTGAGTTCGATTCCCCTAGGGACTGGGGATTTACCTCAGTGGCACAGTGCCTACCTGGCAAGCATGAGGTCGTGAGTTCAATTCCTAGTACTGGGAAAAAAACAAACAAAAAAAAAGATTTTTCATTTGCATTCTTCTTACATCTGATGTCTACTTTCAGGTAAGGTGCCCCGTTCCACATGTCTGGGTACCACCTCCAATTTATTCTTCTGCCTGGTGTTTGTGCCTTTTCCCATCATACTCTTATAAATGATTTTTTGTTTTTGTTTTGTTTTTGGGTACCAGGTATCGAACGCAGGACCTCGCATTTGCCAGGCAGGCGCTGTGCCACTGAGCTAAACCCCCGGCCCCTATCCCTTATGAATACTCTTATGAGTCTTTGTACTATCATCTTCATTTTCCTGTGTGTCCGCATTTCCTGATTTTGGACTTGAGTGCAGCTTTCAAAGTAGAAAGAGCTCTTGCAGCGGTCAATAGGCCCACTAACCTGATAATCTGATAATGCCTTTTAAGGAAGTCTTTATGCCATTGATTTTTTTTTTTTTAAGTTTTTGAGACAGGGTCATACTGTGTAGTTTAGGCTGACTGAATTTACAGTAATCCTCCTGCCTCAGCCTTTAGAGTGCTGGGATTATAGACCCTGCCGCCATGCCCGGCTTGGTGCCTTGGATTCTTCTAGGTCAGCTTTATCAGATTGTTTTCTGAGAACAGAGTATAGCTTGAGAAGTTTTAAACTCATTAACTTCAGAAAGAGGAGTTCAAACAAGTGAATTTGAGAAATGCAGAGTCAAACAAAGCTGTACAACTTTAGAATAAGCTATGTCAGAACTGTTAACTTATTAATGTGCTCTGTGGATTTCTAGAAGAGGTTTTTAAACTATCAGTTGAAGGTTATTTGTTTATTGTCCATGTTTTCTTCAGTGCACAATGACTGCTACTGGTAGAAATAATAGAAAAATAAAACATTCAAATTGGCTGAAATTGCTACCAAAATATTTAAGAGATCAAAAACTGATCAAACCATCCCACCTTTCTATTAATCCTGATAACCTTAAAACTAGTTGAAAGTTATTTGATAATGGAATTCCTCCTTCATGTTCCTGAAAAAACTTGAATGGAAAAATAAATGGTAAATATGGTGCTATTCTACATTTTGGTGATATGTTTTCTGACATGCTCATTGATTAGGAGGAAATGTGAGTTTGAGCCATTAGCCAGACACATTTAAAAAAAAAAAAAGAAGGCCGGGTGTGGTGATTCAGTGAAATCATAAATATGTGCTGTGCATGGTTTAGTATCTTGTATGGCTTTCTTGCCTGTATTTATAATCTAGGGGAAAAATTATCTTCTTCCGTGTGTAGAGAGACAATTGTACTATGGACAGGTCTAAAATCCAACCAGGTAAAGAGATGAAAGTTCAGAATCAAAACTTGAATTCTAGGAACTCCTGGATGACAAATTACTCTTTTCACTGCTGTTTTGGAATTGTTTGTGTTTCTGTGCTTTTGCTGTTGATTTTTTTTAGGGTTTTTTGTTTTTTGTTTTTTGTCTTTTGTTTTTGCTATTATTTTTTTGAAACAGGGTTTCATTACAGACCGTCCTTGAACTTTCTGTATAGCCCAGGCTGGTTTCAAACTCTCAATCTTCATTCCCCAGCCTCCTTACTTCTGGAATTAGAGGTGTACATCACCACGCCCAGTCTTAGTTGTTGTCCTTGCTTGGGTTGTTTGTCTGTCTGTAAGACTGGACCTCAGTAAGGAG